TATATACATATATTCACACGGTATGATGTTCATAAATGGATTTAGTTCATTAAAGAAATCATTAATTTACAGTAAATAGTTGATTTATTTACACAAAAAACATTCTTAATTGTTTTCCTGACACCAGCATTTCTTAAAATCACCTAAGATATGACATGTCCGCAGTCATCTTAAAGTTAGGACTAAGATTAGGAGGTCTCCTAAGATAGGATAGCTTGGATGGCCTCACTTAAGACTAAGATATGTCGTAAGTTCGTCTTAAGAGATGTCTTAGTCCTAAGATAGCTTCATAAGCATGCCTGCAGGTTTTCATTTTAAATTAAGATTTGACATTCCCATCGAGTTCTAGAGCGGAAATACACGTTTTATCAGAATTAAACAGAAACCTTTTCTTTTTTTCCAAATAATTATAGTTTTTGAAAGTTCGTAAAAAAATATCTTTTATATCTATAGGAAAAGTCATTCAAAGATGTCTTTTGAAAAATCAGTAGGCGATAGAAAAACGTTCGCGGTTGCCTTCCACACTAAGACTCCTTTGTTTGTTGAACACATTCAACAAATTGTTAATTAAAATATAGAAAAATTTTATACCAAGCAAATCAAGTTTTTTGTCTACTGTTCACTGCAGGGTAAGGGGTTGGGGGGGGGGGGGGGTGAGTGAGCAGACTTCACAATGCTATTCATATAAATAGTAAAATACAGATCTGTGTCTGTAATACATTTCTTCTTCAGTGTTATTTTTACTAATGAATACAAATGTACTTGTACTTACGTGCATAAATAAAAATGATTTGAATTTTATTTAAACGTTTTTAGCCGTGTCATTGAAACATTTCCAAGTTGATCATGTGCATGTTTTGTTGACATATAACATTAAAATTTAAAAAAAAAAAAACAAAAAAAAAAACTTCACCTGACGAAGAAAAATAATCAACAAACGGGAAACACTTTTTCCTTCGTATTAAATGCTTAAATTATAAATTCCCTTTTTAGATCCGGCATGCACTCGTTTCCCATCATGTTCTTGTATTTTAATTATGTTCCCCAAACGAAGTTGGGGAACATATTGTTTTTACTCTGTTTCTTATTATTATTATTATGTTCCCCAAACGAAGTTGGGGAACATATTGTTTTTACTCTGTTTCTTATTATTATTATTTTTTTTCTTCTTCCTGGGAAAATTTTGTCCTCGAGTGATCTTGTAAACTACACATCCGAGTAAGGTAAAATGTTTTTAGGGTAAGTAGACATGTTATGTAGATTTGCGGAATCAAGGTCATTTTGCGCGCACTTGCTTGCAAGAGCGCGCACGTGCAACACGAAAAATGACCGATTTAATTGATATCGGCGTAACTTTTTACATTTTTGATGAAATGCTTTGAAACTCATAATATAAGGATATATTAGTGGCATAGACAATAAGACATGGTCAAAATAGCAAGATCTTACGCGCATGCACGTGCGTTTCGCTCTGATTGGCTGAAACTAAAGTCTCTATATCTTTCTTGTTTTTTTTTATGAAATCCTTTGAAATTTTGAACATAGCCATGCATTAGGATATCCTACACAATGATATATAACAATTTTCATAAAAACACGTGCATGCATGTGCGCTGCAATCTGATTGGCTGAAACTTTAAATAGCTATAAGTCCCTTGATTTTCAACCAAACAGGATTTGATTTGGAACATAGATAGATATAATAGACTACTACAAGAAGGTATGGTCACCATGCACATCCATGCACGTGCGTGTACGCGCGCTACAATCTGATTGGCCGAAACTTTAAATAGCTATAACTCCCTTAGTTTTCAATTAAACAGGATGAGATTTGGAACATAGATAGATATAATGGACTTCTACAAGAATGTATGATCACCATGCACATCAATACACGTGCGTGAACGTACGCTGCAATCTGATTGGCTGAAACTTTAATCAGCTATAACTCCCTTGGTTTTCAACCAAACGGAGTGGGATTTGGAACATAGATAGATGTAATGAACTTCTACAAGAAGGTATGTCACCATGCTCATGTATGCACGTGCGTGCACGTGAAATGAGTAAAATCAAAAATACACTTGAATGAGCGTATTCTTTAATACTTTTGGATTAAATACTTTAATATTTAGTATAATAAAGTATATAGATTGTGTAGACAAGATGATATGGTCATTATGCACATGCATTCACATGCGCACGCATGCAGTGCTAAAATTTGAATAAACTTGGTACCCTTCTGGGTAAAAGTTGTTAAAGTTTCAAATGCATAAAATTTGTCTTATTTAATGAAGCTTACGGGGAATATGGCACCAAGAGGGAGATGGGGAGCGTTTGGGGAACATCTGTAACGGTCCCCGTTACAATTAGCACTAGTTATTATTATTATTATTATTTTTCTTCTTCTTCCTGGGTACTTTTTTGTCCGGGAATGATCTTCTAAACTGTTCGTCTGATGTAGGTAAAACCTTTTTAGGATAAGTAGACATGTTATGTAGATTTGCGGAATCAAGGTCATTTTGCGCGCACGCGCTTGCAAGAGCGTGCACGTGCAACACGTGAAATGACCGATTTAATTGATATAGGCGTAACTTTTTACATTTTTGATGAACTGCTTTAAAACTCATAATATAAGAATATATTAGAAGTATAAACAATATCGCATGGTCAAAATAGCAAGATCTCACGCGCATGCACGTGCGCTTTGCTCTGATTGGCTGAAACTAAAGTCTCAATATCTTTCTTGTTTATTGACAAAATCCTTTGAAATTTTGAACATAGCCATGCATTAGGATATCCTACAACATAATATATAGCAATTATCATGAAAACACGTGCATGCACGTGCGCTGCAATCTGATTGGCTGAACCTTTAAATAGCTAAAACTCCCTTGGTTTTCAACCAAACAGGATGGGATTTAGAACATAGATAGATATAACAGACTTCTACAAGAAGATATGGTCACATGCACATGCATACACGTGCGTGTACGTGCGCTGCAATCTGATTGGCTTAAACTTTAAACAGCTATAACTCCCTTGGTTTACAACCAAACGGGGAGGGATTTAGAACATAGATAGATGTAATGGACTTCTACAAGAAGGTATGGTCACCATGCTCATGTATGCACGTGCGTGCACGTGAAAAGAGTAAAATAAAAAATACACTTGAATGAGCGTATTTTTTAAATACTTTTTGATTAAATACTTTAATATTTAGTATATTAATATATATAGATTCTGTAGACAAGATGATATGGTCATTACGCACATGGATTCACATGCGCACGCGTGCAATGTTTAAATTTGAATGAACTTGGTACACTTCCGGGTAAACGTTGTTAAAGTCTCAAATGCATAGAGTTTGTCTTATTTAATGAAGATTAAAGGGAATATGGCACCAAAAGGGAGTTGGGGAGCGTTTGGGGAACATCTGTAACGGTCCCCGTTACAATTAGCACTAGTTTATTTTATATTTGTTTAATAAAAAAAAAACGCAACTACATGGATGGGTGTTTAAAAAATTGTAAGGAAATTAAAATATTATACCTAATAATTAAAGTATTTTTTGGTAAATATAATTAATCTATCACCATTATCATCTGATCAGGGTGGTCATGTGTGCTTACGGCGATTCGCAAGACTGCACAATTATTCGTATCGATAGAAGCCAAATGTGTCGTAAAACAGCACGATGGGGGGTATATCAATGTAAACAAGTTTCACACCTTCTTTTGTTTACAAAGAATCAAAATAATCAACTGGAATTTCATGGATTAATATAATATTTAAATCAGAGACATCAATAAATATATAATGTCTCTGGTAAAATGACCGCATATTCTGACTTGAAATGTAAACACATAAGTATGTCTTACGATTAAATCCTGCTGTATCATGTACGAAAGTATACAAGAAAGAAGAAAATTAAAATTAACAGCCAATATTAAATATAAATAGAGAGTTTAATAGGGTGCTTGGTTGCCCGGAACGTTTTTTACGGCCGGAACAAATCTTACGCGGGCCGGAACGTTTATTATGACCCGGAACCAATATTATAGGTATTTAGCGTTCCGGCCGGAACGCCAAGTTACCCGGAACGTATATTATGCGACAGTGGCGCACTGGACAATGTTCAAGTGCTTTGATCCTAAATTAATTCTTAAAGCAATGTACCAGTCATAAATATTTGGCAGACTAGGAAACTTTTTCTCGTCCTTAGTATTTAAAATGACTAAAACGGTTTCTCTGTGTATATGTGAATGACAGTAGCCAAAATAAAAGATAGGGCTAAGAAATGGGCAAGAGTTCTATTGTGCAACTCCATTAGAGAAAACCCGCGAAAAAACCCGTAGAATATAGCGTTTTTAAATAATCATTATTCCATACCTGTGCATGCATATATACTTTGATTACATATTTTAATGTTTGATCATATCAAAGTAAATAAGATTTTACATATTTACAACTATAAACGTTTCGTTTAATTTAAGAATTTGATTCTGGTAACTGAAATATTTTCTCCAAAAATTTGAACCGTTGACATTTGTATTTTTTGACGTTGCAGATTGCTCCGGGTGTTAGAGAACGATATCACTTTAAATCTTATAACTCAAAAAGTTTTCAAGCAAACAATATAAAACTTCATAATTTATCTGCCAAGAACAAGCTTTATAAACCCTGAAGATTTTACAAAGATACATAAATTTCTTCAAAACATATGAGCTCAGTCTACGAAATTTTGGGACAACCCTCGTATTTCACTAGCCATTAAAACCAATTTCTTTTGTGAAAATAAACCCCAGAATAAGATTGTTTCTAACGTGTATTCCCATCACAATGTATATTGTAAATAAATTAAAAAAAATAACAAAAATATTGTAAGGAAATTGATGTCTGTCATCATGACATGTGTTTTTTGTAAAAATGTATAAAACGTTAAATGGGCTCTATTTTTGAAAGTCACGAGAATTTAATTTTGATAAACTTCCTTTTTTAAGATGTATCTGATCGTCTTAGAAATGTAACCATCACCATAGGAGTGGACAAGAACGATATTTCTACACAGTGTGGCTTCTTTGCTGGACCGGGAACTGCGTCTGAACTAATCCCGGTCGATTGCCCAGCGTTCACCAGAGGGCGCTATGTCCAGATTTCCCAAGTGGACAGTGTTTTAACTCTCTGTGAAGTAGATGTGTTTACTGTTACACTATAATTTGAACAAACAAAACAAACAAACAATCAAACAAAGGAAGAGGAAGAAGCAAAAAAACCTCATAGTTTCGACTCCAACCCTGCATAAATTATGATTCAGAAATCTAAAGTGCTCCAGGAGAATAGCAAAGACAAGGAAGTCACCTACGAGGGCCGTTAAAAAATTACACGGACCTGTTGCACAGAAAAAAAATATTTGACGACATAAACGGGCAAAATGTCACACATAATATAAAAGAATCTTTACTTAAGTGGTCTTCAAAATTTCATATCAAAATGTTGTAAATTGGTATTAATTTTGAGTAATATTTCATGACATATCATTAGGTCATGGAGCAGCAAAATCTTCGACGTCACAGGCATTATAAAAAATATGTTATTGAGCTTTCATTTTCTCAACATTTCCCCAAGAGTACCTGCACAGTTTGAGTTACCTTATCTACTCAACATCTAAACACCATTTCTTGTCAAGCTTAAAATCTATTAAACAAGTAAAGAATATTCTTTTTTTTGTTTTAAAACCAAAAACTGCAGGTATTTATGAGATATAGTGTGATATTGGTGACTCTCAATCACGTTCTTTACAGTCTGGATAAAGTTTTTTGTCGATAATCTTCTTCCTATCCTCCCGTATAGCCCTTTTACATAGGTCTAACCGTCTAAAATTTCAATTTGCTTTTTGAGGACGAATGTCACGAATACCCTAGTTTACTACATGTTTTATTACGCATATTTTGGATCTATGTTGGCGATATAGTGAGCATTACACATAATTTAACAAAAGTGTGGTGCGCCGTCAATTCAGGAAACGTCATTTTCACAGTCGTTTTCACGGGAATCGCATTAGAGAAAAACCACTTCATTTCTGTTCGTACTTCAAATATCACGTCAGAAATCTTAATGCATGATAATAGAACGATTTAAAGATATATTTGAGAAAATTGTCGAAAAATATCGCGAATTATAGAAAATCATTGAGTTAAATTTTGGATTCTGCATGTTTTTGCTTCAAATTTTTTGTCCTCTCCATCAGCGATATTAGCATACCGATAATTATAGTAGAATGTTTTTAAAATACTGAAATTTTGCTTAAAATTTTTTGGAATTTTTAAGATAGATATTTCTGTGAAATTTCATAACTATATGACGTCTGTAAGAGTAAATAATAGCACAGTCCGCGTAATTTTTGAACGGCCCTCGTACATGTGTATTCTTGTCTGACTAAAGTTTTCTTTTCCTTTTAAAAAATTGTGAAAAAACAAATTGAATTTTATATATCACCTCAATAGATTGTATTACAATACTTAGTATTCCTATCTAAAATATAAGGGAAAATGACAACGTTCACCAGTCAGAACATCTGAATCAATTTGATGATTGTTTTCAGTCCGCGATAATAAATTATTTAAAACGAATTATCTGATAAAATCCAATGTTTTTATCCATGTGACTTCTTCTCTTTTTAAAGCTTTAAGTAAATGTATTGAACTCATTTAATGTTGTAATTATTCTCTCAGAATTTTTCTGTTTGATGTGACGATTCCAAAAGTCATTTTAAGTGTATTTTTTAAGGTGTTAAAGTTTATACATTTTCCCAAGAGAAATCTTTTAGTGTGAAATCCTTCTCATTGATTGTTTTTTTTTTTAAAAATTGCTCACTGGGACAGATTGTCGATCTATTATTCATTTACAAATCCGTTATATTTCAAGTCAGAGCTAGGTAAATGCATATAAACATATTGATAATTCAGATAAAAATGTGTAACTTCTTCAAGCAAAACTGATGCAAATTGTACAAACAATTGCACGTGTCTTGTTTTTGTGATTAGATGTTCAATTTTAATTAAACAGGAAATGTTACAAGCAAATACATTAATAATTAAGATGGTTTTAACTGAAACGAATTATATTGTAAAAAAAAAACTCAAGTTACCAGATGCAAATCATTGAAGAATCTTGCAATTAAGAAATCAGTTAAATTAAAGTTTTTATGTTATAATTACATGGAAATATTCATCTCCTTTGCCCTACTTATAGGTGACCGAAGATAAAACGGGGTGAGCTCAGAGAACACAGTATAATTTTTTTAAGCCAGAGATAATTAGCTCCGCCCACACATGATAAACCTGGACTGTTTACCCCTGTCAATCAAGTGGATTAATGTCTATTATTGGATGTTGAATTTGATTGACATTCAGCCATGGGTATTTGTATAATTTGTACATCTTTTTAGACACTCTTGGCCACCATCATATGATTTTTAGGTCTTTTGATGTTTATAGCATAAATAAAGAAACCTTTTCTTAGTGAATAATTTTAGCTTGATTATACATGTATATGTTATTACATGTATCTGTTTTACAAATTAACACATAAAAATGTTAATTTTGTAAAACAAAATATGCTTAAATTAGAGCGGGATCTTGAGATTGCTAATTGAATATCACTAAAAATTTGTCTCTAGCTTAAATTTCCACTTATACGGCATGTTACAATGTATATATGTTAATGCCCATTGGGCCCTGATTTGGTAATAGATTCTATTCTTTTCTATTCTGTAAGTATGAAATTTAACAAATTTTACTTATGGTATTCTTATATTAGGTTGTAAAGGTAATACTCTCAAACGTCCTGTCTATTAAGTTTGTGTATAGGGATTAGCGTTCTGCACGACCGTCAATGTCTTTGAGAACATTTAAAATTCATTCACAAGTCCCCTTTATTCAAAGCAATGACAATATAAAATGGAAATAAACAAATTGAATTTATGTTTAATTTTTGTTTTAATTTATGTTTTTTTTTAAAATTTTTCATTACAGGTGAAGTTGTAAAAAAAAAAACGTCTGGCGGTATCACGATCTCATAAAAAATGATTAATAATCAAATGAAAAATTGGTGCAGATATTCCTTAAAGGAAGTCATTGAATCATTTACGGAAATATTTTTCCTTCTTTGGAGCATTTAAAGGTCTATGTCGTGGGAAAAAAATATTCAAAGGAATCAAATGCAATCGTTAGAAATGGTAAAAACCAATTAGGATGCGGATTATATAATTCTACTTTTGAATTGATTACACCCGTTCAAAGCCTTATGAGGAAATATCTCAAATTTTTATATTAAAAGCATGAAATTATTCAGAATATTATAAAATATCGACCAAAGACGTTACGCTAATAACGAACCATAAAAATTTTACCTCTGATATTTTTAATAAAATCATTGAATCCAGGAGATACTCACTCCTCCAAGGCACCAGATTCTACCTGTTTTTAAGGTCAGTGTTTCTTCTGCTCGAATTTTGCCATTATTAAGTGGATTATATTGCATCTTGAATACTTTTTGTTATCTTCATATATAATTTCATTTCATTCATGTAGGTACGTCACCGCTGTTAATGGGCTATACTTGACACTCAGGACCATTCAGCATTGAGGACTCTCCAGCATGCTATAGCCAAACGTGACAGGGGTATGTTTTAAAAATTATTTTTGAAAGACTTTTATATCTTGGAAAAGAAATAGTCATTACCTATGTTAAGCTTTAAAGGTTTGTAGTAACAAACAAACATCGATTGACATTTGCCAAAATGTGCATCTTTCAAAATTTTGTATTTTTGCTGATTTTGTTTTTTCCTTTGACTTGGGAAATATGCTATAAAATGTCATTTTTCTTCAATTCATATAAATGAATATTATACTACAATTCGTGAATATTATTTCTCGCTTTCAGATGACATTGACTATCTTGTAAAAGTGAAATGTTGCCAACACTTTTGAAATTAAATATAATTATAGGGTATTATAGAGTTAATATATCTTTCCATTATAAATTTAGAAAAGTATACTTTGCCTTTAAAATATTCATAAGAATTTGGAGGTTTTATTAATTAAACCTTGTTCTACTGTTGTCAAAAAGCTTCACAATATCAAACAGTTAGATTTCAAAATAAAAATTTCAACACATTCCCCTCACTACTTGTGATAGTTTTATTAAATGATAAAATTACTATGATAAAATTACTATTTGAATTCCTTTTCGCCTTTTACTGAATTTCTTATTCACCGCAATCCAAAAATAGATATCAATAAAATAAAAGTACATTTAATCAGTTGATCTTTAAAGGGAATCATGAACAAAATAAGCATTGTCGTACTTTCCTGCTAATATTATATAAGTCAAATGGCGTAACTCTATCCTACCTTTTTTTTGGGTGTAACTACATGTATTATTAATATATTCTGAAAGTAACAAAATTGCCTGTCTAACAAGGAAATAATTTCTTTAAAAAAGATGTGTTCCTGCATATTTTCATCCTTTTTAAATTGCAAGGAACCGGAAATAAAATTATTTGCATCTTGAATGTTGCTTTTATGCGAGTTTTTTAACTTATTTTGAGAGTACTTTATCTGAATGCTTTATAAGGTAAGAAGGTTAGTTATAATTTACTATGGTTGACGTAATACATGTAACCGCAAACATATTGTATCGCCTAGAAAATAGTTCAATACATCTACTTTGCTTATCCACTTAGAAATACCGATTTTAACATTTTTTATAATCACTTATACAGCAAAACGTGGTTTCCTAAAATCAAATTCAGTGTTTCATCCTTTTGGTACAAAACACAAACTAGCGAGGACCGATTTTGCAAACCAACGTTTCTGTTTGTGTAGCAAAGAATTCCCCACCCCTCAGAAATCTTCATTTTTTTTTTACTGTTCAGCTCTCATGTAAAGATGACTGAGCAAATGTAAGTCTAAAATGTGTTTAATATTTCTTATCTGCCTGTGTCTTTAAAAAAAACATAAGATTTTAATGAAAATATTAATATAAAAATACCAGCCGAAAACTTTGTTTCGATGAATTCATCACTATAATATAGAAGAATAAAAAATTATATGATTAGATCTCCATAAAGACGGTAAACACTATTTCTATATTTTAATAGGCCAGCGAGGTGATTTTTCATAGATAGAATGAAGTTTTCCTGTTTTTCGTATTTTGTTGCAATTCATCCATGCATCGATAGCTTCCTACCTCTTTCAAATAATTAAATGAATGAAAAAGCGAAATATTTTTAATACATGTAACTCACTGGTAAATATATACATCATTAATGTTAGTAAACATTGCGACTGGTAAAAAATCAAGCAATAAGGACTGCTATATTAGAAAAAGGAAATTGGTGGAAGAAGATTATGTAGGAATATCATTTAAATAAGGAAAATTTGTTTCAAGGAAAGAAGCAAAGTGAAATATCCTTAAAAATGCAAATTCCTGACATTCCGTGCCTTGAATGGGTAAAAGGGAAAATTAATAATCAGATAGATAAAAAATCATATTTGATATATTTTGCCCATTTTCAATTATCTTTTCATATTGCCATTAACAATCACGAAGGCATACATACCATACATTTTAAATACATAAGTATACCATATAATTTAATTTTATAATTCGTACACTAGGTAAACTATTCATTTCCCCTCCAATGACGAGGTTTTCCATTAAAATTCATTTTTAAATCACTTTATGCAAAGCTTATAAAAGTAGATTTAAAAGTAAAGACATATACATGTATCAATATTTTAGATAAGTTTCCTTTTCCTACCAAGTATGGCTTATGAAAATGTAGAAAACATTTTTGTGGGTATCTTGATCTTTTGTAAAGAAATGATGCTTCCAGCATACTTTGAAGGAATTAATTTAAATAATTTAAATACTAAATATTTTACCTTCTTCTAAGTCTTTGGAGCTTGCGTAATTGGGAAAAAGTGACTCAAAGTAATCAATCAATTTATATGATAAAATCAAATAAAATGTGGTTTGCATAACTGTTTATTTGAATTGATTAAAACCCTCAATTACTTGATGAGCACATATATTATAATTATACATAAAAATAGGATAAAATTACTAAGAATACTGTAGAATCACATATTTTCGTCGTTTGAGGAAACACTCTTGGTTCTTGGGGATTTGATATCGTGGATGACGAATTGTTGAGCAGTTCTGAAGCATTTTACATTTCTTGGTGGACATGAATTCCTTGGTGTCTTGAACTGATACATTGAAAACAACAAAAATATTCCCCCCGTAAATGTTTTCGATTTCACAGTAGTGTGATGTTTATCTCAACGTTATACTGTAAAACGAGAATAACTGGCGCTCTACTAATTTTTGCGCCTATTGCGCAAGAGCTTTTGAACACTCAAATTTATTGTGCGCTAAAGGATTTCTAAATATTATTTTTGTGTGTGTTCAAAGCTTTTAAATAAGTACATGTAAACCGCGATTACGTTGTCGTTTTTTGAAAAAAAAGAACCATGAAAAAATTATACTTGTTGACGCTTCTCATGAAATTTTTCTTAGCAGTAATTTCACTTTATGAATATACTGTAAACTCACTAATTTTCGTGGGGGTTTAATTTTCGTGGTTTTCGTGGTATGAAAAGACCCATGAATTTATATCCTCCACGAAATGCAATTTTTTACATGTATTACTACTGAAAAATTCTTCAACCACGAATTCAAATCCCCATGAATCAATATATTTTCTTCAAACCACGACAATTTGACCCCTCAAAAATATGTGATTTTACAGTATCTAGTTTACAGAACCGATGATTGTTTTATTCTTTGTGCAATGTATCTTGCGTGAAAAGAAGAAAACATTTGTTGTGGCCTTCAACTCTACATTTAAATGTAGATATATCGACGTCGTATTGTCAATAAACAATGGCAACTTCCATTCTTATGTCGACACGGTATAAAATTTGTCTCATATTGGATGTTTTTCTCGAAAAGGACGTTAAAGGTATTCTCACAACCAAGCTTTATGATAAACGTAATGACTTTTACTTTTCGATTGTCAACTTTCCCTTCTTATGCAGCAATATATTATATTAATCACCTGCATATAGGATTTATATCTCTCAGTTGATTCGATACACAAGGACATGCTCTACGTATGAACAATTTCTAAAACGAGCATTGACAAACATGTTGATGAAATAAGACTAAGCAGTCTCGTTGAAAGTCATAATTTCGTAAGTGCTATGGTCGATTCATTGAACTTATCAGCAAAGACAATTCAAATCATTTCACTCGTTAGACAGAATTTTTTGATATTTTCACTCGTGCTTTGCATTCGTGAAAATATCGAAAATCCTGTCCCACACGTGAAATAAAATCCACATTCAACTACAAAACATTGAATATCCTCTAACTACTTTATTTAACAGACTGAATTAAACAACAGCAGAAAGATTGATTTCGTGCGCCGATGCACACTTCTTAACTTCTTCATTAAGTGTTTTTATCATGAAACTTGAAATTCCTGATCATAAAATGTCGTATTTTAAAATACAAGAAATAAAATATCTTCCCAGTCTATCAGTTTTTGGAAAAACCCTCGTAAACTGTTTTTTCAAAACCTCTACTTCTTTTCTTGCACGTTGCATTTATTGTTACTCAAAAACTAGCATCACTAAAATAAATAGACGTTTAATCAGTCGATCTCTAAGCGATATCATGAGCAATTTCATATTAGCTTTGTCATACTTCATTTAACAAAAAGTGTGTCAAATGGCCTAACATTACACTGTTTTTCATCTTTGGATGCAAATATGATTATATATCTTTAAAGAAATTACTTCCCTTTCTTACAAGGAAATAACATTGAATTTTTTGCAAAAAAAAATATTTTGATGTTTTTCTTATTTGCAGGAAACGGAAATGGAATAACATGCATGCATATAAATTAAACTTTGCTTTACGCCAAATAATTATTTTGCTTTAGTGAATCTTATCGGAATTTTCCAAGGTAGAAAAGTCCTTGACAATAGTTGAATTATATAAACAGTGAACCACAAGGACATTATTTTAACAAACATCTCATACTTTGTAATACGAAATAAATAAAAGAGATAATTTTATTTTTTTTTCTATTTACGTACAGAGAAACTATTTTTTTTTTATAAAAATCATCAGTGTTTCTACTTTTAAATTTGGTACAAAACAAAAAATTTCTTTACCTGTCCATAATTTATTTTTAAATGATTGAACACAATGAAGCATAAAAGTGTATTAATATTTTTTTCAATTGTGCATTTCATAAGAGATGTGCGTTGTTCTAAATCACTAACATTTGATGCGATTTTTAAAACTAAATTCTTATAATTAACAAGAGGCCCATGGGCCTTATATGTCACCTGAGTATCATGTAACAACTTTCCAACAATTGAATTTGGTTCTGTTTTAAACCAGAGGCCATAAAATTCACAATTTTGAAAGAGGCACCTTTGCTTATCATAATTATAAACTAAGCATGCTTACTCTATTTACTTATTACCCAGAGGTAGATCGGAGTAAAAAAGAGAAAATGCACTTCTACTTTATAAACAGTTGTGCACCCCACCACGAAGGAACCACTGACCCTGGAACCATGAAATTCACAATTCTGGAAGAGGCACTCTTGCTCATCATAACTATGTACTTAGTAAGTTTATTTAATACCCAGGAGCAGAGAAGGTTTTCAAAGAATCAATGCATTTTCACTATACAATCAATAGAGCCCCACCCTAACACCAGAACCCCTAACTCTGGGGCCATGAAATTCACAATTGTGGAAGAGGCACTCTTGTTCATCATAACTATGTACTTAGTTGGTTTATTAAATACCAGGAGCAGAGAAGAAGATTTTTCAAAGAATCAATGCATTTTCACTATATAATCAATAGAGCCCCACCCTAACACCAGAACCCCTGACCCTGGGGTCATAAAATTAACAATTGTGGAAGAGGCACTCTTGCTCATTATAACTACGTACCTAGTTACTTTATTTAATACCCAGGAGCAGAGAAGAAGATTTTCAAAGAAATAATGCATTTTCACTATATAATCTATACATGTATAGCCCCGCCCTAACACTAGAACCCCTGACCCTGGGTAGAGGACTCAATAGTTGTTACATTCATGCTAACAGTTTGCCTGCTTGATGTCCAGGAGTAAAGAAGAAGATTTTTAAAGATTTCATTATTTTTAGTGGTTTTGGCCCCACCCTCAGGCCCCAGGGGGGCAGGGACCATGAAATTCACAATTTTTGTTCCCCTTTATCCATAGATGCTGTATACCACATTTGGTTGAAATTGGTTAAGTGGTTTCAGAGAAGAAGCTGAAAATGTTCAAATGTTAACACACGACACACGACGGACGACGATGGACGAAAACGGATAGCAATAGGTCACCTGAGTGACTCAGGTGACCTAAAAATGGTATAAATCGAAATAAAGAGTGAAAAATAGAGTTCTGTTTATATGATATTTACATGTAATAATTCACAACAATTTTACTTTATATATTATTTTTTACGTGTTAAGTAATTAAAACACACACACACACACTACAAAGTACGAGTTTTACAAATCGAATATTAAGTGCGGATCATAGCGAGAAATATTAAATTATCGCAGTTATTTCTAGGCTTTTCAGAGCATTTAAAGGTGTTTAAATAGCAGTATTAAAAGCGAAGTCGGTTTTGATTTTGATTTATAAGTTATGTACCCTCTTACAGCAATTAATAGAGAAGATTCTCAAAGCTATTTAATATACACATTCAATATGATGCACTGTATGATTGGCCTCTTTGTTATTTAGCGGGGAAATTACTGTAATTCACTTTCACAATTGATAGAATATTAAAGTTGTTGATGAATATGGATAAAAATAATATGTCCAGGGCAATATAGGTTGATGGATATGACATGGAATAGTTTTATCGTTATCTATATGATAAAGTTTCTATATGAACTATTTCTCAAGCAAAATAAATAATGTCCACCATATCAGAATTAAATGTTTCGAGTTGAGTTTTCATTCCATTTTTGGTACCTCACTTCATTTTCTTAGTATTTTAAATTATTCTTGCAAGTAAGTGCAAAATGAATTTGAATTAATAAATGTTTCTTTCATGTTTTCTTTTAATTTATTTCAGAAAATGGTCATGAAATGCTTCGTGGTCCTTGTTTTCACATTAATACATCAAGGTAAAAATTTCCCTATCCAGAACTGCACATGGCCCGCCATTTGTAATTGCTCTGAAATAAATGGCTACGTCCACGCTAACTGCTCTCACAGAGCCTTATCTAAGGCACCCCTGTTTCGTCTAGATGTGGTTAGTGTAGATTTATCGTCAAATGTTTTTGAAGCGTTTCCAAGCAATCTCCCTGAAAGGCTCCAATATCTTTACCTTGCAAACAATCTAATCAAAACAATATCAAACTACTCCTTGAGTAAACTAACAAACCTGGAAAATCTTACCATATCCTACAACAACCTTAATGAGATTGAGCCAGGAACTTTCAAGCTTGCTTTTAATCTATTTCATTTGGACCTGTCGCACAACAAAGAGCTATCTTTGTCTGTTTTGACAAATATTTCTTATGATCTGCAGTTCACGAATATAAAGGTTCTAAACTTGGAGAAAGTTCAATGCACCTATGGATTAAGTACTGCTGTCTACACCAAACAGGTACAACACCTTTCCAATACCTCATTGGAAGAACTAAACCTTGCCTCAAACAGAATCAATCATTTTGAATTCGGAATGTTTTTGCATCTACCAAAATCACTTCGTGTTTTCAATGTTGCTGATAACATATTAAGTTTTGGGGCGTACATCCTAAATTTGAATCAGCTTACAAATGTTGAAGTTCTAAATGCAAGTTTTCAATCCAGTTTTCATCCAGTCAAACCTGTTGATTTTAATTTTCGGTGTAAGGATTGGAAATCTCAAAACCCATCTGTTTTTGATTCTGTCCACTCATCGTTGCATACGACTAAGAGAAACCTTGGAGCACAAGATATCAGAAACAATTTACAAAGGAAAATGAATATTACAACATATTTTCCGCCGAATATTCAAAAAATATACTTTCATGACAACTTGTATAAATTTGTGTTTCCTGAATTCTTTTTCAACACAACAGGAAAACTTACTCATGTTCACGCTCAGAATAACATTATCTACGAATGGGAAGGACCGCTATATGGAATGCAAACTGTGGAATATTTTGATCTTTCAAACAATTTTTGCAGCAAAATATCTCCATACTTTTTCATTGACTTTCTAAATCTTCGTGTTTTGAATATTTCGAACAATATTCTAGGGCAGTCACTTGAAATGGACATTGATGGAAAAATTTTCCAGAATCAAAGAAAAGTAAAAGTGCTAAACCTAGCAAACAATAAGATTGCTGTCCTACCTTCAAAAATATTTCAAGGATTTTCCGAGTTAACACACATCAATCTGGCTTCAAATACCCTCGACTTTTTCAATGTTAGTATTTCCCATCTACATGAGCTTGTTTCGATAGATCTTTCTTCAAATCAGCTATCAGGCCTCAGCGAAGAAACTCGAGCTAGTCTGAACAAAATTTCCGAATCAAGGAAAATATTCATAAATTTAGTTCGTAACCCGTTACAATGTTCTTGCAAAAATTTAAATTTTCTATCTTGGATGGAGCATTCTAAAGGAATAAAATTCCTTCACTTTAAAAACTACACGTGTGTATTTCAAAATGCAACACTTGTGACATTCAGGAACTTTACCTGGCTTCTAAAAGAAGTGGAAAAAGAATGCGCGTCTTTTACATTGGCGATTGCCATGATATCAGCCTTGCTTTTAGTTTTGATCACAATCATAATGAGTAAAATTTTCCATAGATACCGTTGGAAAATACGCTACCTCTATTACGTCGCAAAGGGCAACAGAAGAAATAAAATGACGCCTTATGACAAAAAGAAACATTGTAAGTATCACTTTGATGCTTTCATTTCTTATGCAGAAGAGGAAAACAAGTTTGTTCGCGAGCTTGTTGCATATTTGGAAGAAAACTTCAAACTTCGGCTTTGTATACATCATCGAGATTTCATTCCTGGAACTGACATAGCGGACAACATAACGAATGCCATCCACAACAGCAAAAGAACAGTTGGTGTGCTCACCTCAAGTTTTATTAAGTCGTACTGGTGTAATTTCGAGCTGAACATGGCACGGATGGAAGCTATCTATTCGAGAGAAGGATCCAATGTTTTACTTTTTATCGTTTTGCAGAGAGGCGTCCTCAAGTCACTACCTTTGAAATGGATGGACCTCATTGAAAGCGAGTCGTACATGGAAATTTCGCTTAACGATGAAAAGGAATTATCAGCTTTTAGAATCAAACTTGCACAAACTCTAAAAGCCGATGTAAATTGATATGAACTAAAGCCTGTCTTGGAAAAAAATCTTAAATAACGAAGAACTCAAGGTATATTGACAATCTCTTTGGATGTACACCGGACTATTATTACACAATTCATTTAATTACTGAATTTAAAATATTTAATTACTAAATATAAAATGTAATTTCATTTTTCTCACTTTGAAGGCTTTGCCTATCTAAGTTGATTCTATGATTCATCTTTTAAGTCAGTTCTATTCAATAAAATGTATTATTTTCGTAATTAAAAACATTTTTTTAGAAACAAAAGTGAAGTTTATCTTAAAAATGTCTGTTTACCAGCATTAAAAGTTTTTTAAGATTTAATTGGTGGATTTTATCCAATTACAAAGGACCAATGAGTGATGCTCCGCATCTTCGCTAGCCAAGGGTTTTCGGCCCACTCCGCTCCCCATAAACGTTTATGGGGAAAGGAGTGGACCGAAAACCCTTGGCTAGCGAAGATGGATGCTCCGCAGCTGCAGCAGTTTCTATGAGAGATTTTGCGCTTTTCTTTGAGTAGGAATCTCCGAGTAGTGTTTACAATATGGCCGCCAAAGCATCTTCGGACGATTTTATTGGTCTCTCTGGAAAGTGACGCAGGTTAAACAATCGTTAACATTTTCCTCAATGATCTGCCTTCTTCGAGTGATAGTAGGTTTACAACACAAAATTAGTGTTAAATTCTAACCTGGTCTTTCATTTAAAAAAAAAAAATAAAATAGTTAACCCATGACGGCTGCGATATGTTTTTGATCAATCAGTTTAAATAGATAGTACACATGTAGCATGGGTAAATAGTACACGTTTTTTTTTTTTTACCCGAAAGTTCCCATAACCTTTCTTTTCTATGTAAAAATTGCTACTTGCGTGTCGTTTAGCAAATAAGAGATTCATTTAAAAAAAATAATTATATTAAATTTATTATGCACCCTGCGATCGATAGATCGGAAGCGTATATTGTTTTTGTCCTGTTTGTCTGTTTATCTGTTTGTCTGCCTGTTGCCAACTTTATCCTTCGCCTTAACTTTTGAACCGTGTGAGATATAGAACTTTATATCCGGTATGCATACTACACTAATTACGTTCCTTCAAGGTCAATGATCTTGTGACCTTGACTGTGACCTATAGGCTAAAAATAGCTTTTTGGACTTTGTTGCCCCCGGCCGCATAGTGTCTCAAAAACACATCTTGTATACAAACCTGCAAAATTTGAACGTTCAGAGTTCAGAAATAGCTGAGAAATCGAGGTTAGAATCTATTTAGACAGGATCAGAATTGTTCGAAAAAGGGACGTTTTCGAAATAGGTGGAGCAGTGAGCAGTGATAAAATTCTGCCTATTTACGTATGAAACCAAAAACATTTTGTGCACAATTTTATGACTGGTTAAAGCGACATAAGATATGTATTGAATTAAACTTTTGCGGATAACTCTCGTAAATATATTTTTTCAATAATCATACAATCTTTCTCCACTATTCTACAAAAGATATTCCCGAAAATGAGTGAGATGCATAAAAAAATTATCATAGTCAAACAATTCTACGTTTTATATAAAGATTATATCGGAAATTTTTTTTCATCTTTGTGCAATTTTGTGCCACATTTTGTTTCCTAAAACGTGTTACTTTTAGCATGTTTAGCAGAAATTGTTTAACTTAATAGCCTTCATCTCATGCCATGTTAAGATATTTTTGACACCTCTAATTTGCTTTTCTACAGCTTGAGACGATTTATCAGTAAAAGATTGTTGATTGTATATATTTTAAAGGATTTGAATGATTATTATATAAATACAACCATGAAACTAGATATCATTGAGATGGTGGCCATCTCAAAGGGCCCCGCATTCAACAATGAACATGAAAATGTAAGGTCATTTAAAAGGGATTATTTTGAAGAGGAACATTTGTGTTATACAGTAAAAGTGATTTAGTACGACTTCATGGATACTGCAAATTTACTAATATTTATTGAAGTTATCTTGTATCCCGAGTTATATAAATTTACTGGAATTAAAAGGCAAAAAATTATGCACCAAACAAAGATTTTAAACAGAAAGGGTGATTCTGTCCATGACCTAGAAACTTTGACCAAGGTCACTGCACATCCATTGACCAGTGGATCTCTATGAGTGAAGTAATAGCCAGATTGGGCCAACGAGAGAGAAGATATACTCCGAACTAGGATTTTTCATATAATTCTGCTATGACCTTGACCTTTGACCTAGAAATCTGGTTCAACGTCACTGCACACCGGTTACCCAAATGCACTCTGTGGGTGAAGTATGAGGCAGTTTGGGCCAAGGAGAGAGAAGATATGCTCCGGACAAGGATTTTTCATATAATTCAGCTATGACCTTGACCTTTGACCTAGAAACCTGGTTCAAGGTCACTGCACACCTGTTACCCTAAGGCACTCTGTGGGTGAAGTATGGGCCAGATTGGGCCAAGGAGAGAGAAGAAATGCTTCGGACAAGGATTTTTCATATAATTCTGCTATGACCTTGACCTTTGACCTAGAAATCTGGTTCAACGTCACTGCACACCGGTTACCCAAATGCACTCTGTGGGTGAAGTATGAGGCAGTTTGGGCCAAGGAGAGAGAAGATATGCTCCGGACAAGGATTTTTCATATAATTCAGCTATGACCTTGACCTTTGACCTAGAAACCTGGTTCAAGGTCACTGCACACCGGTTACCCAAAGGCACTCTGTGGGTGAAGTATAAGCCAGATTGGGCCAAGGAGAGAGAAGATATTCTCCGGACAAGGATTTTTCATATAATTCAGCTATGACCTTGACCTTTGACCTAGAAACCTGGTTCAAGGTCACTGCACACCGGTTATCCAAAGGCACTCTCTGGGTGAAGTATGAGCCAGATTGGGCCAAGGAGAGAGAAGATATGCTCCGGACAAGGATTTTTCATATAATTCAGCTATGACCTTGACCTTTGACCTAGAAACCTGGTTCAAGGTCACTGCACACCTGTTACCCAAAGGCACTCTGTGGGTGAAGTATGAGCCAGATTGGGCCAAGGAGAGAGAAGATATGCTCCGGACAAGGATTTTTCATATAATTCAGCTATGACCTTGACCTTTGACCTAGAAACCTGGTTCAAGGTCACTGCACACCGGTTACCCAAAGGCACTCTGTGGGTGAAGTATAAGCCAGATTGGGCCAAGGAGAGAGAAGATATGCTCCGGACAAGGATTTTTCATATAATTCAGCTATGACCTTGACCTTTGACCTAGAAACCTGGTTCAAGGTCACTGCACACCGGTTACCCAAAGGCACTCTCTGGGTGAAGTATGAGCCAGATTGGGCCAAGGAGCGAGAAGATATGCTCCGGACAAGGATTTTTCATATAATTCAGCTATGACCTTGACCTTTGACCTAGAAACCTGGTTCAAGGTCACTGCACACCGGTTACCCAAAGGCACTCTCTGGGTGAAGTATGAGCCAGATTGGGCCAAGGAGAGAGAAGATATGCTCCGGACAAGGATTTTTCATATAATTCAGCTATGACCTTGACCTTTGACCTAGAAACCTGGTTCAAGGTCACTGCACACCGGTTACCCAAAGGCACTCTCTGGGTGAAGTATGAGCCAGATTGGGCCAAGGAGAGAGAAGATATGCTCCGGACAAGAGATCTCGGACGGACGGACGGACAGCCAAGCGGGGCCCTAAAAAATAACAAAATGGTTAATGACTGTGTTAAACATACTACAATTTTTACAATGGTAAAAATGAGTAAAAAATTATTTTGTTTAATCAAGCACGTCATTTATACAAAGAGCATTAAAAAATGCAAAAGACTTAAGAGATGCGAATAAATATTGATGTCAATTTTGTTAGCAGTTATCGGTCTTTGAAAGCGACGCAATCGACTGATATTACGAACACGCACATGCGGAAGCCGGACAGTTTCCACTTGCACAGTTTGTAGCACACCACTCATTCAAAACCGGATCTCCAGCCCACAAATTAATAGCATAACAACGGTTACCAGGCTGAAGCGGGGCTTTAGTCGTCGTAGGATTAACGAGGGGCACTCCTGGAAATATATTTATCGGAAATCCTCCAGAGTTTTTAGGTGGAGTTGATGTCTGTGGGGGTGATCGAGTTATGACTTCCGTTGTCCGCGTGACGTAAACAGGTGAAGGCGTGTCGGGGCGTGGCGTCGATTTTGGATAATAGATAGGTGTAGTCTTGGAAGTAATTGTGACGTCAGAACATCCGTAAAATTCTTCCTGAGGCCCGCATCCCATACATCTGGTTCCGTTTGGTGCCAAGCCGAAATTGTTTCCTGACAAATTGTCATTGAAAATATTATACAATGTGAGCAATATAGGAAGGAGTTTCGTTATAAAATCTGTACATAAAACTGGATGATTATTGAATAGCGAGAATAACATACATAAAATAAGGATATTCGGGAAGTCACTCGAACTTTAAATTCAACGGAGATTCCTTATATGTCATTAAAGAAAAGATTTCTGAAAACTTATTGGGATATAAATACAGTTGACCCTGTCGAGATGAATCTCCATAAAACCTGAAGCATTTTAGCAAGTGGAATGGACGATTTTATGTCTACAACTCGCTGTGAGCGCCATTGCATTGTTATATGTAACAATGTTTTGATCACTTCCATTATACCGATATGCTAATTATGTCTATTTGTATACCCTATATACAGTTATTTTCGCCCTTTTACACTTGCTTACAAATATGCCCCGTGTTGAATTGGCCAAGTCCCAGTTCTGTTTAAGAATTTAACTGTATTCTTTAAATTCGTCCCGTTTTAGATTCGCTCATATGTGACAAGGGCGAAAAAAATACGGGGGCAAAAATTTCCCTGTATATACATGTAGTATTTCAAAGTGTTTAGATTGAATTAATACATTGTTATTGACCTCATATTTATCTGCAATATCAATTTATTTCTTGTAATTTCTATGTATTATCTTTCCTGTGCTCATATTTTCTGAACAAGTATTCTCCTACTCTTCTCTGTTAGAGTATGTTGTATTTACGTACATATATATTATTCAAAGGCCCTTAGATCGCTTAGAAAAAAATTGAGGTGTTGAAAAAAAAATGAAGGTACAGATCTCTTTTC